TTTGTCCAGTAGAAAAATCATTATTACAAGCATTTACAAAACTGTGTGATATGGTTTATCTTGGTGATCTTGTATATAATTATATACACGCACAATTGTAGATTGATTACTGTTCAGTAGTGACTGTGATCTTATGTAATGTATAAGCCATTGTACTCAGCTCAAATCATTTTTCCAGTTGCGGAAAGTGTTAGGTTGTGAATGTGGAAGTGACTGCTATTGAATTTATTTCGCAACTCAGGAAATGATAGAGACTCGTTGCTGATACTTTAGTTGTCTTCAGCTGATGGTATGACTGAAATGTAGCTGAGAGCACAATTACAGCAGATGACAAGAAAGGAAGAGAAAAAGCACAGAGGGTGGGTGGGAAATTGAACGGTGAAGTGTTCATGCATGGAGCCAGTCAGTGTCTGAGGAGAGTTGCAAAGTTCTCACGGGTGGAACCCAGTCAGTGTCTGAGGAGAGTTGCAAAGTTCTCAGCAGCCAGCACGGTGTGAGAGAGGAGAGAGGGAGCCTGTCCGACACACACCAGGACCCCCACTGGGAGACTGGAGACCACCAGACTGTACACACCTCCTCCACTAGTGGCATAGGCACTGTCAGGCAATAAAACACACGGAATAATCATTCGTCTGCTGAAATGAAAGAGGCGTGGCGTGGGATGTATAAACACCAACCGTGATCTCCTCATATCTTATTTCATGATAATAACATTACTAAATTTTTCTACGGCAAAGTGGTACAATATTATATTGCAAGGCCCCAGCATGACTAAGCCCCTAACTACAGAATAGGACAACGCCACAATTTCTGTACTGTATGTGATACAATCATAACACCACACTGCACACTGTGTATTATTTATTATGTGGTATCATTCCGTTATCGATTACGCCACATTCTCATAGACAGTAATACAAGGCCAGAATATTAATCTGCTGTTCTGAACACATCTACCTGCGCTTTGCAGTTCACCTTAGATTTATCTACACAATTCCCAAAAGGAACACGAAGGTGAAGGAGAAGGAGAAGGAGAGAGAGAGAGAGAGAGGTCCCATATCTTATCATTTACCTGCACTGTCCTTTCTGAAAGACAACAAAGGAAACAGTTTTGTCTAATTGTAAACTCAGCTTTGGCATCTCATCTGGAAAGTGAAATTCATAGAAAATCTTACCAACCAGGCCATTCCTTCTAATGGTGTGGGTTGTGACAGCATGTAGTGGACCACAACCTCTGTGTGCGTGTATATAGCCCACACCATATTGAGCAGAGAAGGCACGAGTTATAATTATACACTTTACCTGTCGTTGTGCTTGAAAATATTCCACAGAATTGGGACCAATTCTATTAAAAGAGCACATTAAATTCCTCACGCATTCTTGTCGCATTTGAAGTGTAAGGTTTCAATGACATGCCTGACATGCCTGACATGCCTTAAAGAAACAAGGAATGCATTATATCACCCCCAATACCACTCTGTATATACCACATATCAGTTATACAGAGAGTGGAGCACAGTGATTATGGATACTTCCCTGCCTGGGGTGAGTGAGTAGAAGACCCTGTGTGTACACACAGCTGCCTGTCTCTGTCAACACTGCCACTCCACTCACTGCCCCACCCTCACCCAACGTCTCTACAGATACATATGCCATTGAGTGGTCCATTCATCAGTCTTCAATATGAAGTGTAGCTATCTTCACCTTCCACTAGCCGTGCCCAGTCCATGCTGATGCTTGTCCGGCTCAGTACTGCAGCAGAGCTATCCGACCTGTACTAGCTGTACGTGTGTGTACGTACGTGGGCGGTGCAGTGTTTATGCGCATGCGTCATATATGCTTCTTTAATATTCGCGCGATCTTCTTCCGCAAAATAACGATAAACACAGTCAGCTAGATCTTTATCGTTGTTATCACGAGAAAATACGATGTCGGTTAAGTCCGTGAATAACGGTAGGGGCGGCGGCGGTTCCAGATCCTCGCTGGTCGGCATAACAGCTCTCACTACTTCCATGGAGTCGGCGGAGGCATTCGACGTGGGGGACACCAAGGTGCAGCACTATGGACTGCTCATGAAGAAACCGTTCGGACACAAGTCGGGCCGCTGGCAGAAGAGGTGAGGTTTTATAGGTAATGCTCTTTACAGGCCTCCCGTCGGCCCCATTTGTGGGAGTAATTCGAGCCGATGAAGATCAGGTGTCCTGTGCACGGCGTGCAGACTCGGCCTACTATTTTAGCTGCACTGTGGCAGTATATACAGTATCCAGTCAGTGTGTAGCGGTTTTTTTAGAACCCCACGTGTTTACTCATTGGGACCAGTGTTCCTGCTCACACTGTGTATGTAACCACCTCATTGACCACGGAGAATTGGTGCTGGTTGTGTGACAAGTTGCACTGTGTGTGTATCTGGTGCCAACTTGCCTCTCTACTGGCATATGTAGCATACTCTTGCAACTCCTGAGACTTGACTGTTACAAGTGTATCTGCAGAATTCTGCAACGTATTGCAATACTCATCCTATTTCTCCAGATTCTTCATCGTGAAGGAAGGGTTTCTGCTCTACTACCCTGAGTCTGAGAACAAAGCGTTTGAGCGTGCCCACACCTTCAACATCCACCCAAGGTATTGAGGCTTGTTCTCTGCAGAATGCATAATAATTACTGTATAATATACGTTTATCTTTATCGTGGTTATTAATTCCGGTTGTGCTCCCTGCACTATTGAGTAATTCTACACCTTAGCTTGGTCTGAGGGACAATCATATTCACCTTCTGTGCTCACTCAGTGTAGCTCAGGATTACAGGGTTTGAAAGATCTATCATTAGCCTTAGACCTTTTGACCTTCGTGTGTTGCAGAGTCCATGTTTTGGTTGGACTCTTTCATCTATCTTTTATCCAAACATGATGGGGTATATACCCTATACCTAACATTGCTTGTAGGTGGCTCTGAACACAATGTAATGCTAGTCCTGATGGTCCTTGTTACTTTAAGTCACGGAATTTGTTGTTGGTTACCCAATGCATAGTATGCCATAAGAAAAACAGGTTATGAACATTGGTTACAAGCTAAGAACAATGAAAATGCTGAACAGCAGATTTCGCCTTGTTACTTCATATAAGACTAAGTTTTGAGTCATGAAATTTGTTGTTGGTTACCCAATGCATAGTATGCCATAAGAAAAACAGGTTATGAACATGGGTTACGAGCTAAGAACAATGAAAATGCTGACCAGCAGATTTCGTGACTCAAAACTTAGTCTTACATTGACTCTAAACTTGAAGAACCGACCCTGATGGTGTGTGCTGTAGACCTGGGGCTGGGGTGGAAGGTCAGTTATTGCAGCACTTATCCAGGAGATCACTCCAATTTGTGTACCAATTACTGTCTGGTGACATGAGTTCCCATTTGTGGCCTGCATTTCTTGGTGGTCTTGATGGTTTAGATTGTTGCCCGCCTGTTGTATTCTCCCCACTACATTCTGTGTAACTCTGATCTTGCTGGAGTAGATGTGTTCTCTTCATTTGTTTCTCTCCTGCACAATGAGTATGCCAAATGTCTGTCTTTTGATGCTTGCTTGTGTTCACACCTACTCTCTGCTACAGAAGAACCTGTGAGCTCGTATATAATGTCCCACACATGATCGTCAACACTTACTACTGCAGTGTACACTGCGCTATGAACCGGTTCTTTTTTTGTGCAAAGCTCAATTTCCACACGCTCAAAGATTAGAGAATGTTCTGTGCAACATGTTAGTCGTACCACCCTGAAAGATAAGTTTGGCAGTGGCGGTGGAATAGTACACGCGTTCATTTAGTCTTGTCCCCAGCTGCTCTACCCACACGGGAATGAACGTCTGGTAACTTTTGAAACAGTCTGTCGTCCTCAAACGAGTCTGACCGAAGAGCACTCTCACTACTGGTGGCAGTGGCAGTGGTGGTGGTGGTGGTGTGGCAGTGGTGGTGGTGGTGTGGCAGTGGTGGCGAAATATGTATGTTGTACACATTTTTCATGGTTCAGCTGCTGTAGTTTTATCAACTGAAGCAGCAGTGTTGGACTGACCTCTATAATAATACCTGGTGAATAGTCTCCTGGGAATTTGTCACAGTGCACTAAAAGTGTTGGAGTGTGAAATAATGTTGGACAGTTTAGTAACTATGGATGAAGGAATAATGCGTTCAGAAATGGTGTGTAGTATACCTAATGTCTGTCCAATTGCATGCACGTCTGATGTTGCTCTGACGCATGCTCTAATATCCACACCGCTAAAAAACCTTTACGACAAGGAGGTTTGAGTCAAATACTCTCTGGCTTTAGCACACCAAGCACGCCAGCCAGCAGTCTTTGCAAAACCTTTTTCACAAACAGGACGAAATTGAAGTGTTTAGTGTATTATTCCAAGTCCCACTGGTAGCTGATCCCACTGTATAAGAATTATACTGCTGCTGCAGGGAGTGATCCCACTCGGAGGATGTGAGGTGTCAGAGGAAGTCAACGGTCCTCAGAAATTTGCCATCAAAATCACCCACGCACACTTCAAGGTAATGAGTAATACTACGTATGACTTTCTGTACATGATGTAAGAAGTCATGATAGGCCAGCTCTGACAATAGTATAATAATTATCATCATCCGTGCCAGCACTTACATGAATCGTGTGTAGGGGCTATCTGTACAAAACCCACTTGTGGCATATAATGCTCAGCGTTTCAGTTAGAAAGTTATTGAAGGGAGGGGGAGCCACTCACTGGCTACACCACTCCCAAAGGCCGTATGGTGTGTAGATGTGAGACCTTTGCATTATACCACAGTAAAAGGTGGGTGAAGGTGAAAAAGAAGGCTAACCCCTGCTTCCAGCTTTGGTTCGTGCAACTTACACTGTTGGTAGTACACGTGACTGTGCTTAGGGCTCTCCTGAACACATTGGGGATCTTGTGGTACTGTTGAGAAGCTGCGGTTCGTTTGTTACAACAATAATATCTTGAAACAGTGTCCATTTTTGTGGATAAATTGTCACTTGTTGGTTATTTTTGGTATTGCGTTTGCACTGAAACAAATAGAACTCCACTGAAGACATGGACGGTTAGTTTCATGCACGTGTGGCATGGAGAGTTGTGTACAATAGGATCTTCCTTATTTACCGACCGTGAAGACTAAGGAATGAGTGTAGTGACTATGGGTCAGTCGGCAAATAAATTCATTGGGGGGGAATTCAGCATTCAAATCAAAGTTTGCTCCAATTTCTGTCTTATAAATCATCAGGGTTAAATCTCAATGATGTATAATTTTCATTCTTGCATGCATACGCACCCGGACACCCACTGAGAGTGAATGAGTTACCCTGACACGGAATATGTACCACCCCCTCCCTCATCCTCCCTCCCTCACTAATTCAGGGAGAGATATGGCTGGGTGCTGACAACCAGGAGGAGCGTACTGAATGGGGGGATGTCCTCAGAGATGCCGGGAAAGTGTGAGTCTCATTAGCATGCAATAAGACACTCTGTTACTGTTTGGTGGTGATTGTGGTGTAAAGTATACGGTTCACTGCTTCAGTCCTCACTACTGGTGTGTATGTGTCCTTCCCGAAGTTGTCAAATCTAGGCTAGACCCACGGGCGGTTTCATTTTAAACGGAACTGTCAACACACACTTGTTGTGCACACACTCACACGAGGAGTAACTGAGCGTAGAAACTTGCATCTTTGATGGGAGGAAGTTACACGTACACACTGTATGTATGTACACACACTGTATGTACGTACACACACTTTATGTGTATGTATGTACACACACTTTATGTATGTACACACACTGTATGTGTATGTATGTATGTATACACATGTACTGTATGTATGTAGGACGTGGAGGAATGCCCAATTTGGTGAGAAGGTCATAATCCAGATGGAGGAGAAGAGCAGAGATACCGCGGCCCAGTTGAAAGAAGCCATTGGTGAGCCATAATCACACACTTGCAGTATAGCCTCTACTGTACAACTACTCTACTGTATATACCACTGACTGCAAGATCATTATATATAGTGCATTTGACAATGTCAACGCCAAACGGATTGCTCATCCCGCCCAAGTTATACCAAAGTGTGTGTATGGTTCCATTTCCACTTCACACATTCAAACGTGCTATATATAAAGGGCTTGTTGCACAGTGCAGTAAATCGTAGGTTTAAGATTAAACTCGGGCATCAATTTTGCCTTGCCTTGCCTTGCCTTACCTCCCTGGATGTTTCAGAAACTTGGCACACCATGCTGCATTATTACCACTGCCTTCAGTACCTACGTATGTATACGTATGACATTCAAAGACATTCCCATTGGGAATAATATGGCACTACATAATTGCACTTTGTGAATTATACTATGGCTTGTGTGGGGAACACAGTGAATCACTGGTTGTGTGGTGAGAGTGTATGTATGTTAGCACTTGAAACCTGTCTTTGGGTGCCAAAGATTCCTTTCCTGTTAGTCTGAACTGAGTCACTGGAGACCTCAGTCACCAAGACTTCTCACCACCGTACTCTCATACTGTTGATTGAGAGTGTTTACTCGTTATTAGTTGCTGATAGTAGTTTCCTGCACTTGCATCACTGTTGGCATAATATTATGACACTCTCTGAGACTCACTCACACAAATTGCACGCTCTCTACAAACTACTCACAGATGATCTGAATGAGAAGGCATCTGTACTGGAGGAAGAGAAAGAAAAGAAGAGTGTAAGTGTTGGCCCAACTGGGTATTGTGCAATTGTTGAAGCCACTCTCTTACTGCATGAATACTTCCGTCTTACCAAGAGCACATGAGCACTTTATTTCCCGTCCATTCTTCCTCTCCTGTTCCTCCCACACTCTTGACTACATTCGCCACCTCTCTCTCTCTCTCCCCTCTCCTCTCCTCTGTCTCTCTCATTCTCCTTCGTCCTCGCTCGCGCTCCTCGTTCTGCCTCTCGTTCTCCTCCCCCCTCTCCCGTACCTCCCTCCCTCCATTTCTCCCCGCTCCAGGAGCTAGAGGCACTAGCAGCTAAGTTTGAGGTGGAGATGAAAGCAGTGGAAGACGCGGCCAAAAGCCTTCGCAGCGGAGAAGGACACAGTTCAACAGTAAGTGTTGCTTCGGTCAACCCTCAACTAATGCGTGATTGGTGAGACGCTAAGTAAATGCACGGGAGGTGATTTTTACCTCATTAATCACTGGATATCTTTCTAATCAGCTGCCAGCATGTTCACCTGCAATAACATACCTTGCAACTAAAAGGTTTCAGGAATTTTTAATATGAACTTGCGAAAGTTATTTTTCAGTGAATAATGTGCCTTCTGCCCACCGCGTGTACTAGCTGACTGTCAATATAAACTGGTAGAATGTTGGTTAGCTCAGCTGGTGTGTGTGTGTGTGTGTGTGTGTGTGTCCCGCAGGGAGCTGCAGCAGACACTCCAGTCAGTCAGTACCATTCAGGAGGAGAAGGAGAGTTTGTTCAAAGCCACTGAGGAACTACAAATCGTCCTCCAGGTCAGGACCATAACTCTACTCTGCTTTATGTATACTAATGTGCATAGCTACCCACAAACATGACTCTGTTTACTTCAAACCCTGCAGACGGTGTCAAAAGAGAAGGAGCAGACGACTGCGGAGCTGCAGTAGAGAGAGAGACTGGCCATGGACATGGAGGAAGAGAAGCACCAACTGGAGGAGGCCACCACCCACCTCAAGGCCGGCCTCATTGTTAGTGCCTCCCCACTCCCCCTATGTAGTCCCTCATTTGCACTTGCACCAAAGGGAGCCCCACCTGTAGTTGTCTGAATTGCACCGTTTTTCTGGAAAGACGCAGCTAGTTGCAGTCGTGTGTCTAATGACCGACCATGCACCAATGACAAATGCCAAAAATACGTTGCATTCGTTCTAGTAATGGAGGACAGCTGGGAGAGCTACCACTTCCTTGCCTATCCATGCATACATTACTCTAGCCTCCTATAGCTCTTTACTTGCCACAATACTCCTTGTTGTTCCCCCAGTCGATGGAGGAGAGACAGAGAGCACTCGAGGAAGAGAAGAAAATGACCGTTGAACAGTTAGTCACACTTTCTTCTACCATTCACACAATACATACTACATACATGCACACATACATGCATACACCCCCACATAGACAAGGAACACTAGCTAGAAGCCTGAATCCTGTTGTTCAACTGGTATATCGTACTGTATGTATGTACATACAGACTGAGGACCCAGGAAGAGACGGCCAAACAGCTGGAGTCTGAGAAGAGATTGATGTCTGATGCAGCTCAGAATCTGGAGGCCAATCTCAAGGTATATTACCTACAAACAGTGCATGAAAACACCTGTGGTGCTAATGTGTCGGTGTGGTGCAGGCACAGAACTTAGCTACAGCTGCATGTAGCTCTCAATAAACTTGGCTTATAGTTTACACTACTAGACGTAGCTCTGAAGCTTTTTTCCCAGTCGGTATGTATAACTGTAGTGCGTATTTGGGCAATAAATAAATGCGTCTGTGTTTGCAGCAAGTTACGGAGGAGAAGCAGACGACGGAGTCCAAGTGGAAGGAGGAGCGACAGAGGAGGATAAAGACAGAGAAGAGACTGCGTCTGGCCGAGGACTCCCTCAAGAGACTGGACAGAGCTCTCAAGGAGAGCGGAGTCCAGATCGACCTACAAATTGAGACCGACGTCACGAATCTCAAAAGTGAGCATCTTACCTTGCACTTACCGAGGGACTACAGAGAGAGCATGGAGGATAGGTAGTCAGCGTACACTTACTGAGGGACTACTGAGAGAGAGAGCATGGGGAATAGGTAGTCAGCGTACACTTACTGAGGGACTACAGAGAGAGAGAGCATGGGGAATAGGTAGTCAGCGTACACTTACTGAGGGACTACAGAGAGAGAGAGCATGGGGAATAGGTAGTCAGCGTACACTTACTGAGGGACTACAGAGAGAGAGAGAGCATGGGGAATAGGTAGTCAGCGTACACTTACTGAGGGACTACAGAGAGAGAGAGCATGGGGAATAGGTAGTCAGCGTACACTTACTGAGGGACTACAGAGAGAGAGAGCATGGGGAATAGGTAGTCAGCGTACACTTACTGAGGGACTACAGAGAGAGAGAGCATGGGGAATAGGTGGTCAGCGTACACTTACTGAGGGACTACAGAGAGAGAGAGCATGGGGAATAGGTAGTCAGCGTACACTTACTGAGGGACTACAGAGAGAGAGAGCATGGGGAAATAGGTGGTCAGCGTACACTTACTGAGGGACTACAGAGAGAGAGAGCATGGGGAATAGGTAGTCAGCGTACACTTACTGAGGGACTACAGAGAGAGAGAGCATGGGGAATAGGTAGTCAGCGTACACTTACTGAGGGACTACAGAGAGAGAGAGCATGGGGAATAGGTAGTCAGCGTACACTTACTGAGGGACTACAGAGAGAGAGAGCATGGGGAATAGGTAGTCAGCGTACACTTACTGAGGGACTACAGAGAGAGCATGGGGAATAGGTAGTCAGCGTACACTTACTGAGGGACTACAGAGAGAGAGAGAGAGCATGGGGAATAGGTAGTCAGCCGTTTCTTTGTGGGAAGGGCAGAGTGGGAAGGACCTTTGCCCTGCCGACTCATGCATGTGAAACTACGAGGTAGAAAGCAAAGGCACAACAAACAAATGAACTACACCCAGGGCAGCTCTTTTTCCGAGCTGGGATTCGAACCCACGACACTGCAGTCTAGGCGAGTGCTCTTCCAACTGAGCTACCAGGGCAACTCAGCTGGTAGGGGTTCGAATCTACAACACAATACAACACAAGGCAAACCTCAAACCACTGTGCTATGCATGCATGTGTGTCACGAAGGAGTCTGGTTCACGAGATTTGAGTTTCTAAGCTTGTGTTTGACGAGCTTTATGGGGAATGTAACCTGATATTTGGGGAGTGTTTTGTATTTTCTGAAGAGAGGGTAAGAAGGAAATCCCCATCTATTATGTTTCTTAGAGCGATTCCCTGACATATTATGTAGATTTGGTTGATGCCAAAATTCTACCGTAACCATGAGTTCCATTTGTATGCCCCTGTAATCATCACCATAATGCCCATACTCTCTTCCCCGTACTAGAATTCTTTGAGGACTGCATCGCGGAGGAGCAGTTTGAGGCCCAGAAACTGGACATCATGCGAGACGCAGTGCGAGCCAAGGCCACCTACAACACCACAACACAGCACCTCGAGAATCTCGCCGTCAGAGAGTCACCTGAACCTCCCCCCACCCCCGAGGATGTCCCCCTCGTCAAACCCTCGTCAGAGACTGGCAACAGTAACGGCACTGAAAACGGAGACGCTGGGGGTGAAAGGCCAGAGGTCGGAAGTAGTGGAACAGAGGTCATTGCCAATGGAGACGCTGGGGGAAAAACAAATGGCGAGATTTCGGAGGTCATTGCTAATGGCGATGCTGGTGATGCAAGCAGTGAAGGGGCAGAGGTCGTTGCTAATGGTCACGGCATAACAAATGGTGCAGCAGAAGCTAATGAAACAAACAGCGAGGCAGTATGTGCGGCCGCAAGTGGGGACAAAGGAGGTTCTGGGAGCAGTGATGCAATAGAGAACGGGGTCCCATCCTCTCCGTCTGATTTTTAGACCATGCATCTGCCTTTTAATGCTGTTTTGTTGAATGAGCTGTTTATGAATTGTAGATTCGTCGCTATAGTTTTGTGTTTGATAAATAACGACAAATGCGAAGGGAGTTGCTGGTTGGTTGTGACGGCAATGAAAATTGGAGGACAATGCTCTGTGTGCATGTTAATTGTTCTGCTCTAGCTGCAGATGGCGCGAGTGGGTCATCATCGATCATCCATATACACGCACACTTGTAACAGCTCTATTGCGCATGCGCAAGATTGCAACCTCTAAAAACGAAAACACGCTGCATTGCAATCGGTCAGAGCACAGCCGAGCGACAGTAACCAGCTAGTAGTGAGACATCGGAGAGAGCCAGTATGGGACTCAAGACTGTGCTACCTGTCCTGACGCTGTTCTGCATCATCGGAGCCGTCTGGTGTCAGTGTAAGTGTGCGCTGGCAGAGCTATTTACCAAGTAGATCGAGAGTTCAGTTGTATAGTTTTGAGCTAGCAGATCGGTACGATCTTTTGTTATTTTGTTGTGGCTTATAAATTTCGCGTGCAAGCAGTTTGAGAGTGGAAGATAGCTAACCTACCTACTTGGAAATTCCTTGCGGTGCTAGCCATGCCAGCAGCTAGCCCAGCTCATCATATCGGGAAGACGATGTAGATTCCTTGTCCACGTACACACGGAGCTACACAGTCTTCTTTCCCATGTTCAACCGCTTGTAGTCTCGCATTGTCGTTTGACGAGGTCCTCTGATTGCACAAACCCTTTGATCTGGCTCCGTGTAATGAGTACCTGTGCCTTACCTATAGCTGACAGGTGGCGCCACGGCTCTCTACCAGCTATCATTGAGACCATAGCTGCAACATGTACAGGTTGTCACAGGGCACTGTGTCTCACACATTGGCAGCCCACGTACATACGTAGTTCTTAACCTTTTTGGACTTGGGGGAAAGTGTGTGTTTGTGTACAAACATGGGAGTCTGTGTTTTCATGTACTATAGTTTTAGCATCTTTTTGTGTAGTACAGTGAGGAAGGCCACTACTTATGTACAATGATAAGTACATGTACAACATTATGTATACTTCATACAGAAGCACATAGCCCCCTCACCAAACAATGTTACTCCTTTTCTTTGTCATCTTGTGACCTAGAATGTATATACAAGCTACGTATAAGCAGGAAAAAGCAAGCACAAGTAAGTGTTGTCTTCGCTGCGTAGCAGGCAACCACACCCAAAGTCAGACGATGGGGGCCGTGTGTGTGTGTGTGTGTGGCAAGTGAGTGCACAGTTTACTCTGTGCATTTCACGGGAGCAGGGAGGGAACCGCGGAATCTGATCAGTTGAGCTGGTCACACCCTTCACGCACACTTCCACAGTCTCTGTTGTACGCATCCCGTGATATCACCTATTGACATGCACGGGATTGGTGGTATGTGTTAACAAGCTTAAGAGCCTCTCCTCCGTGCCACAGTCAGTTAGTCTCTCTATCTCTCCCAATGGGATTGGTGTGCATATTTGGAGAGAGATGACGACATACAGCAGTAGTACTAGGTAGAGAGGGGGAGACCGTTTTGACAGAAGTGGGCCATATCGTGCTTCGTCAGCTACTGTTATGTACACCGGAGATTGTTTTGTCATACCTCCTATCATGCTGGTCAGCTAGTTTCACTATATTGAAAGACCTAAAGTGCAAACCCTCACTGCACAAGCACGTCAATATCAAGCTACTGAGCTGTATCAGTAAGTAGTGTTAATGGCAGCTCTGGCTGGAATCGATATTTGCTCTCTGTTTCTGCTGCTTCAACGGTATAATTATACTGTGCATGACAGAATCTACGGAACGGCGACGTAGAGGAGATACATACATTAATTTGTACCAGTCTTTTACGTGATCTGTGCACAGTGTCCATTGTTGAGCTATGTCTAAAAGGACACCAAGTGTGGTATAGCGGGACACTTACGATGTGGGTGAGTATTCACGAATTTTCGTGGTTTGTGAAACATCTACGAAATTCTTGTTCACTACCTATAGGTTTCTCTCTATACAAAGTTTCCCACCAAGTGGTACATACTAACAGGCCACAGCACTCTTCTGCCTATAGCAGCTAATAATTCAAGTGGGACTCAGACCTCTCATTACACTGACATTGGTGCCAAACACACAGAGGAAACAGGCCGTTTAAACTGTAGCTTGTCTTTCAGAGGTATAGATTTACAGGGGCCACTTAGGCACTATTGTGGACACTATAAAATCTGCCCAGCATTAACCCTATGCACTGTGTGTAGCGAGGCTTGATTTGTGTGTGTGTCTGTCAGGGAATCCATCTGCCCGTAGTGAAAATTATTTTCTTCAATATAGTAGTAGAAGTCCAGTCAGGAGAACCAACGACAACAAAGTGGTCGAATAAGAGCCGAAAAGAAGCTACCACACGGGGTTCCACGCATGCGCAGAACCCTCTGACTGTTACCAATGTGCTCACGAGTGAGCACTGGCTTTCTTTATTTCCAGTATAAAATGGTTGAAGTCTTTTTTTGCCGCCTCACTTGCACTGGTATGTGTCCTAAGTGGTAGACTTGAGAGGCTGCTGTGTTCTTAGACCTAGACCTAAACTGCATGCTTACAATACCAGTGCTGTGCCCTCACTAGCTTCCAGAGAAACAGCAGTTGTAGGCTGAGGAGCGTATGAACTCTTGTGACTTCTTTCATGTACCAGTTGCAGTGGTTAGTATGAAATAACTCCTCTCTAAGGTAAATTCCTACTACACCTTGTAATAGAGTGACAAATTCCACGTTATTTAGACGAAGGCAGTTATGGTCAATAAACCGATTCAAAGAACAATGTCACCCGTCAGGTTCCACACGAATGTACACCTCACATTGTGTATCGTAGTGTCCGTGTACTGTTTGATATACGTACACACGGCCATGCATAATGCAATAAAGGATTTATGTATGTGTATATGGTGGGATCCTGAGCTCTGAATTGCCAGCTATATATACTACCAATTCACACGGCATAATGCACACATGGCAGAGCCAAATGTAGTAAGACATCGTTGTTCTCAGAATATAGTTATTGCCCAGCCTCGCGTATGCCTATACTATTCAACACACACTGTCAACACACGCGTTGCAGAAGTTTGTGTTTTGGCGTAGCACCGCTTTAACCAAGTCTGTTTTGCACACTATATACTGTGTCATGACAGAATCTAGCACAATAGCACAGGAAGAATTTACTTTAGCATTTCGTGAAATACACCAAGTGCTGGTAACTATTGTCCACTAGAGCACAGAACTGGTTTATGCTGTACTACATACTTAGTGAGTTTCAGAGCAACCGTATGGGTGGGGAACATTTGTACAGCAGAAGAAACGATTATGTATGGTTGTCACGAGTGTTTGTATTGCTAACAAAGTGACCTGTAAGTGTGTGTATGTGTACTGCGCTGTCTGTCCGTCGTGCAGCCTGCAGAGACGAGGTGTGTGAAGCAGAGGGAAAGAGGGACGACGACGAAAACATCCAGGACAAGTGCTGCGAGTACTTCAGAGATTCCTGCTGCAGCACCGAGGAAAATGACTACCTCACTCTTCTGTGAGTCTCTGTATATAGCACACAGTGGTGGGCTTTAGATAGAGGAAACTTACGTTGGGTGTCTTGCTGGTGTCTCTCCAGCAGTGCACATGTCCGTATGAGGCTCGGTTATGTATACCTCTGACTCCACCACTCCTCCTTTTCCTCACTTCACCTCTTTTCTTCTCGAGCCCCGAGCGTGCGGACGCCGTTTTCTTTTACCCTCAGTGTAATTATGTGGGCTTTTACACTTCTCTGTTGTGCTACGTATGTACGTACTGCGTCAAAGGAAGTTTATTGGTGTTCTTGTAGGCTTGCTGTCTGTACTGATATTCAGGCACTACAGTGCTAGCCAGGATAGCAAGACAAATTCACTGGTGCTTATCATCATTAGTCTTTCATACTTGTCCCCTTTTCCCTCCCAAGCCAAAAAGTTTATCCACTGCACGTGCACCCCTCTTCCACCTCTTTCCCTCTTCTCCACCTCCTCCCTTACTCTTTAGCCTTCGCACTCACTCACTCATATCCCTTCACTTCTCTTCTCTCTCTCTCTCTCTCTGTCATTGTAGGTTCAGGCTTGTCGTAGGCCTCAGTGTCACGGTCTTTGGACTAATTGCTCTGTTTGTTATCATTCTCGCGTGCTGCTGCTGTTGCGGCTGCATAGCTTGCTTAGACTGTTGCTGTTTCTAACACCGCCACTGCTCTGTCGGCATTTCTGTATTCATATTTGTGCTCAGGCAAACAGGTTCCTTTTGGTGTCACAAACATGTGTGGTCAATGCACAGGTATAATATGATTGGTCTCCCTTCCAAACACTGTAACTCACATCACTCTTTTTTTTTAGTTTTTGTACTGAGGGTTTTTACTCTTGATCTGTCTTTATAATGAAAGTTCTTGTTTCACTATGTGTGGTCATGGGTTTTAGTGAGTAATTACGGAGTATATAGCACTGAGTACTATAGGACACCGTGTGGGGAATTTCAGAATCCGAGAATGTGTATAGTACTGTAGCAAGGTGCCTATATACTGCTTATGGCTGGGGTTACAGGAGAAAAAATGCAGTGGCAGAATGTTGTTAGACAGTACCTGCTGTTGGATAAAATAGAAAATAGACAAGACTGCAGCTATAGCTCAGGTCCTCACACGTCCTTTTCACTCGCGTGGAGATGTGATGTTGGAGAATCAGGGAGGGTGCTAGAGGTCTTGATCCATGTCAAGACAGTCTTCCCTGACATTCCCAGTCACTGGTGTGTACAGAGACCAACTGGGTTGAAAAGGCAAATCATTGATGCAGGGGACTCTGATCTTTTCAGCGTCCCCTCCTATCAGGCAGTGTTTCTTCAATGTCCCAAAGGTTTGTTGGAGGGAAACTGCCGGTAAGTCCACAGAAGTGTAATTTGTCGATGATAGTAGGAGTCTTAGTGGGAAGATACAGATGCAGTGGGAGCATTGACACCCACAGTGTATTGGCCTGACTAGGTGTTCAACTACAGCAGAGAGGGCCTCCATTTGTTACCAGTGTATTGGCCTGACTAGGTGTTCAACATCAGTAGAGAGGGCCTCCATTTGTTACCAGTGTATTGGCCTGACTAGGTGGTCAACATCAGTAGAGAGGGCCTCCATTTGTTACCAGTGTATTGGCCTGACTAGGTGTTCAACTATAGCAGAGAGGGCCTCCATTTGTTACCAGTGTATTGGCCTGACTAGGTGTTCAACTATAGCAGAGAGGGCCTCCATTTGTTATGATATTGTCAGTTAATAGCAGGAGTGGTGGGGAAAAACCTCTACAATTGCAGAGATGTGGGGGCATTGAACTAATCACAAAATAATTAACAGTGTTGTGGCTTGGTGTGCAGTGACGCTGGTAGAGGTATAATCTAGTTAGACTGGCAGCTCACACATGGCTCCAAGTCACACCATACACTGTGGGCCAATTTCTCACCACTCCATGTGACACGAGTCTCATGGCTACGTGTGGTGCCCTCCTGTGTCGTGTTTAGTTGTTGTTGTTGTACATTTGATGTTGTTGTTGTACGTTTGATGTTGTGATTGTCCGTGTACACATGTGACGTGATTGATTTGACATCTTTTCCTTGTTTAGACTAAACACCAGGCTGTCAAGTGTACTGGTGTTGCTCGCAGCATGTAGCCCGCTAGTCTGTTGTTGAACTATTATACTTGGGCATCAGAAACTAAAGATTGATCAGTAGCGAGCTATACTCTGAGCCACTCTTGATTTTGCCGTAATGTCTGCATTCCACATTCCGTGCATGTATCGACGTGACTGGTCTATTAAAGGGAAATTCGGGCGAGTAATTGGTTCACAAGTGGCTCAAGTGTCGTATAAAGTGCCGCAGTAGTCTTTCCTTACAACAGCTCCAGCAGGTTTGGTGAGGCACACAGGGAAATGGAGGGTGGGCCGACCAGCACACGGCAGAGCGGTCAGAGCTCATTCAAAACTCAAATCCTCTCTCTCCTCCCTTCACTACCACCATATCCCCCCTCCCTGTCCTTATGTAGCCCTAGCCCACTTCCTTCACTACGTATCCCCCCTCACTGCTGTCTGATGATTATGGTGTTGTGCCTGCTGTACTCGCTGATGTAGCCCGTGTTGGTACATTGTGTGTTTAGCTGCTGTGTGATGTCGTGATTATGTCTGGTTTCCTGTATCCTTCTACTTCTGCTTATGTTCTATATATGTTTTATGATTTTTTTAAATATTGGGGTGTACCAAGTTGTGAGCCAACCGGTGTAGACGTCTGGTTTGTGCTGGGTGTGGATTAATTGGGGTGTGCTGTAATAATCAATGTACTAACATGGCACAAGCTAGCTACTCCACCCAGGTTAATAAACAATGTGATTAATTGCCAGGAAACTCAATAGCCATCAATTACACCCATTACATTTGGACCGTGGCATCACAGACGTAATTCTACCACAGGCTACAGTGCTTATTGTATGCCAGTGTAATTCGTACTCAATAAACACAGCTACTGTATATACATTGGGAATCTTTTCAGGGATAAAAAGTTGGCGTTTTGATAGCAAACGCAAGAAAACTTACCGCAGGAAACGTTTGCAGACGGCTAATAAACTGCGAAATTCGCGAAAAGGTTTCCCGCTATTAGCCCAAAAGGCATTATGCTTGTGTCCGGAGCAAACTTTTTGGAGTTGACATACATGATACAATGGTGGCACTCAAACTACTACTACCCATTACGGTGCATTACATAACACCCCATCCCTCTCTCTCTCTCTCTCTCCACAAAGATTCCGACTGACACTTGGACTGAGTATTGGGATATTTGGACTGTTGGTGATCATATCGGTCATCATTGTCTGCTGCTGTTGTTGCATCTGCTGCGACTAACCACACCCCCTCCCTCCCTCACTGTCCACCAGCTATATTAACACTAACGGAACCGAAAGAATCATGACATGCCTTGTGAAATATTATTTAGTAAAATCACACATTTTGTGATAATTTATTTGTGTAGTTTCTTCGGCTGTACACGTTTATGCACAGAATTTTTATCGCACCATGTTGTATGTATTTTTAATCCCGAATCATTCAATTGTTTTGTAGCCATGAAGATGTAATGGTGTGAATTCAGCAATAAAATGGTAACTAATGGCATCGTCTCAGACCACGCCCAATAAAAAGGGTTACGGGGTGCATGCAGGTGGATGAAAAGCAGTCACACGAGATGTGTACCTCTCGAACAAGGACACAATGATTGGCGAGCAAAGCAAGCATACATACCTGTCGTCTGAATTTGTACACGTGCCGGTGTTGCCCAAAGTGTACAATGTGCATGTTTTATACAACACATAATGAGCATTCAAAAAGATACCCATAGAGACGGCTGATACATACATGCATTATATTGATATGGGAGGAAACAGAAGAGAATTTTGAGCCCTTACTCTAATAAGAGCCCACCTACTGTGATAATTGGGTGGAGTTGAGGTGGTGGGTGTGGCTAATGATGATCGATGGACGAGTGGTGAGGAAAACGATCCGTTGTGAGTGTTGTGAGGTCAGTGATTGGTGTGACGAGTGAGATGTGTGAGTTGGGGGATTACAGCTGACGACAGGAAAGGTATACAGAAAGAGGGTGAGAGAGGGGAGGGCGAAGAGGAGGAGGAGGAGGAGGAGGTGAGTGATAAATGACCTAGAGGGTGGGACGAAATGAGACATGATAAAAACATCAATCAGATCTGAAAGGTCTACGTATAGCTTTCACAGCTTCCACAGAAGGCAAATATCACACATAATACCGTTTCCCCAAAAGCTCCGTCATGTGACAATTACAAGGTGTGGCAGGCAAATATGTTATGGAATGCATGTGACATGAGGCATGTGTTAATCTCTAAAGCTGGATGACCGACCGTAACCACACACACTGAGGAGCTGATGTATGTGACAGGGTATGGGTGACTGAGTCAATGGTATTGATTGATTGAACAGCACTGCGTCTTTTGGGGGAGGAATGCATTGAGGGGCGTATGAGATACTGTGTGAATCGAACATGAGCTGATTTACACGCACAATAGTTAGGGGGTATAAATGACCCTGAAATCTGTGTGATCATCGGAGTAGCATGCATCCTCGTTCATGCCAACACTACCTACCAGTCATATCATATCATACAAAGTCTGGGGACCAGAGGGTTGGATACACACCCACTCCAACGCACCTTCCTCCCTCCCTCTTCCTCCTCCACACTCGGATTTCTTCAGCTCCAAAAATGAGAGGCCGTCAGACGAGGCCCTGCTTGCGGTACACCTCTTGTTCCTTCATGATCTTCTGCACCACGACCATCTGGGCCGCCTGCACCGAGAGAATCGGGCCAATGATTGTCAGCTTCCGATTGTACGTTCCCGGGATATACTCCCCCTTCCCCGATAGGGTGATTCTGGTGGACGTCGCCTGCATTAGGTCCGTGAGGAGTTTCGCTCCGTGGCCAATGACCGAGCCGATCATTATTTCAGGGACGGCGATCTCGTAGGTGCAGAGGGTGGCTCCGGGTACCATGAGGTTTACGCCGTCCACCATCACCGGATTCATGTGTCCGAGATACGATGAGTTGCTCATGAGGGACTGGGCGTAGGAGTAGGAGAGGAGAGCCGCGTTGAATGACGATCCGGCACTGTTCTGCTGGGCAGCGGCCTGCGCCATCTGCTGGGCCATGCTGTTGTTGGCAAACGCGGCAGCGTACGCCGGATGCTGGAACATGCTCATGAAACTGGTGGGGGAGGAGTAGTCACTACCCCCGGCACCAGCCATGACGGAAGACTGAAGATTCGACATGGCGTGGGTGTTGAACATCCCCGCAGGCCCCATCCCCCCTGATGCCCCACTGACTCCGGAGAAACTGTTGTTGAGAACGGTGGAAGTGGCGGGGGAGGGGACCCGGCGGGACGAGGCCGCGGGGTAGTTGGAGTACGAAATAAGCTTCCTCCATTTCTGGAGGTCGGGGTCGTTTCGAGTCAACTCCAGAATGGGTCCCAGTGCCCGGAGGATGGCTTCAGTCGAAGCTGCGGTGATAGTGAGGATTCTCTCGGGGAGGGCAGCCGTGTCGTCTTTCTTGCTGATCTGAATCTTTACGTCGCTCTCCTCCTGGAGGCTCTTGATGGTCTGGCCAGACTTCCCGATAACCATCCCGGCCGCAATGTTGGACACCAGCATACGGAACTTGCCCAGAGACGACTGCAGGTCATCGTACCTACAGAAGTCAGTAGGTACCGTATAGTGTATTTCATGAGCTGTACGTTGTAGCGAGGTAGCAAGGCAAAGGCAAAGCAAGCAAGTCAACTACACCCAGGGCAGCTCTTTTTAAAAGAAGAGATGCCGTTAGGTGGGATTCGAACCCACAACACCCTGTAGTCTAGGCGAGTGTTCTACCAACTGAGCTACCAGGGCAACTGTGTTGGTGGTGGGAATGCAGGCATGACAAAGAGGCAAAACACATTGACCTGTGTTGCACCACACTGACCCCTTGGAAGACTGTACCCCCCTTCAACTTCAAAAAATCTCTGCTTTTGCTTGTTGTTAAGAAAAATCCTAAAAGGTATGCCAAAAAAGGCAGGACCAATAGTAGTATTGATACGGAAATTCTTAATATGAAAGCAGGGCATGCGTGGCCTACACCATTCGTGGGAGTGTGGTTTTGACCCCCAGCCAATGTCAATTATACGACGCGTACTGTTTTCACGTGTAAACAGAAACTATAGTAGTGTGTCTATGTAAAACCCCAACAGGACGAGCATGATATGTACACCAGAGCCCCTCAAAAGAAGCCAGAAACACTACACAGTGTCTCAATTATAATGGAAGGAAAGAGTGCAGCACCATCAGCACACATACATATGAACCTGCATCATCCCTATATACTAGGTATTATCATCCTTAGTGAGTTACTGTTACATATGCATTAGGCAGGTAATGCACACCTGCTATGGCCGGGATCGCTCATCTTAGCAAACACCTCGCGAACGGCGTCACAGATGTTGGCGATGGGTCCGGAGATGCAGCAGACGCGCTCCCCGGTCCCGGGATAAGTCTCCTGACCGCGAGAGAACTTGATGGACGTCCGGGTGGCATCCATGAGTTCGGCTATCGTGGTACCCGCACTGCCAATGATCATCCCTGGCACCATCGACGGAACCAGGAACTTGACAAACGCCTCGTCGTCTGTTGTGAGAGAGTGAAGGGGGGAAGGGGAGAAGTGGAGAATGGAGAACATTAAGTAAAATAGTGGAAGAATTTGCTAATCTAGCACATTTCGTGATGTCTTAGAAAATAGTCCAGAGCTATGTGCAGTACAAGTTGATTTTCTGTAAATTACACGTAAATTAATATGCTAGTCACCTCTGCACTTTGCACAAGTCAGTTCTGACGGTTATTGTACTATATACACAGTACACAGGCTCCAGATACAGCAACAACACTGTCAGTTCACTATGTATATACATGGTAAACTTTTGTCTCGGTGGATCTCATACCTCCTCATAAAATTGATCGGATTGCTACAATCTTAGAGGAGTCTCTAATCATAAAGTGCAGAGTGAGGGTGGAGGAGGGAAGGAAACTAGAGAGGTGAGAGAGATAGATATGAGTGTTACCAGATCCAAGGTTGGATCTCTTGCTAGCGATGCTGATGGCACTGCCAGTCTCAGAGTCCAGAGATCTCTTCTCTCCTCTTCTGTAGCTCTCCGAGTCGGAGCTGTCCAGGTCGTGCGCCATGATCTGTACAGCCGCGTTTTGGGAGTGAAGTAACAAAGAACGTGCATACACGGAATTAACACCTGCTACGTTTATAGCCTACAAGATTATGAACGTACCTTGATAAGGATAGAAGGTTTATGAAGTGCTTCACTTGTAACGAACGGCCTTGGTAGAAAGGAACGGACAGATCTCGTCGGGGGGTCCTGTACTTGCCAACTCCTACACGTACGTACACATGCCACGAGGTCGAAAGGTCATTTATACGCGCATGCGCAACATAAAAACGCACACGTGTGCATATGCTCGCGCGGAGAGAGCGTAAAACAAAGCCACCAACCTTCTAAATAGAGTGATTGAAACCTTTAGCTTTTGGCCGGGAGTGTGTAGTGGTCATGGCAGAACCTCCGACTACGCCTAACCTAGAGCGTCACAAGTCCGTGGTGAGTAAAGCAGCAGGCATCAACTCTTGCAGCTAGCTGGAACACTAGCTCTCTCTGTAACAGCCATTCTCTCGTGGTCTTGGTCGCTGCAGGTGATGCTGGAGAACGACGATGCCCTGCAGATAGTGAGGACGGACCTAGCCAACCTGGTGGCAACAGCTGCCAAAACAAACTCCTGTGACATAGAGGTTTTTACCTTCCACAAGACTATGTGCACCTAACTGAACTTGTGTATGAATGTGTATGCTCTCGTATGCTGTGTTCTTACACGCACACACACATACACATACACATACACATACACGTACTAAGAAACTCATAGTGAATGTTTATATGACTGCAGGAGTTAAGGAAACATCTGGTGGACTTTGAGAAACTGTTCACTCAGTTTCTGGCCCACCGCAAGATCGGGAACAACATCATATGGAGCAGAATTCAGCCTCTTCAGACTGAGAATGTGAGTTTTATATTTTAACTCTCTATCCCACATGCCCAAATCGCCATACACACTATGGTCTTTGAACTGAACCTTGGGTGCAGACAATCCAAATTTACACCCCATGACCCCTGTCAGAATCATTGTTGATGTACCCCATGACCCCTATTGTTGATATAATTTTCTGAAGTGTAGCTGCCTTATACTCTCAGTGACCCATAGTCTCTCTTTCTCTGTGACATGTTACAGCTACCATTTGAAGGTCTTGCAGCCCAGTCCAAACACTAGAGGCACACTCAGAGAATCTTTCTAGCAAAGGTTGACGTAGCCACAGTTCCTAGTAATAACAAATATCCCACACACATGCTTTTAGTTTCGTAGCTGTGCCTGTGCTCTCTGTAGGGAGTTTCAGTTGGTAGAGAACTCTGCCCAGACTACAGAGTGTCGTGGGTCCAAAGCCCACCCAGGGCAGCTCCATTCCTTGAAAGAGAGCTGTCCTGGGTATTTTTTTGACCTTTCCCTTTGCCTTGTAATCTCGTTATACATATGAGAGATAAAACTGCCATCTCACTGCTGTATGTGATCTTTACCGCAACTATCATACAACTGCTGTTAGGTCCACACGTACCAGTCAGTGGTGGAGGCTCCTCTGGCCACCACGAAGGGAGACCTCCTGGACAAACTGGTGGTCTTGAAACTCAACGGGGGACTCGGGACCAGCATGGGCTGTGTGGGACCCAAGAGTCTCATTTCAGTACGGAACGACTCCACCTTCCTTGACCTCACTGTCCAACTGATAGAGGTACTATACTCTACTCAGTGTTTCCATATACAGATCTGTGCCTTGTGCTGTGTCAACTATATTGTTCCTTGTATATATACAAAAACAGAGCACATGTGATGCGCATGATTCCCATGCTCCATATCACCTGACTATTCAAGGAGGTCAGGTATCTGTTCTCATGTCTCTCCCTCTCGCTTACTAAGACTTGACATCCCTTCAGTCTCCCTAATGCAGTATTATGTGAAGTGTTGCGGTAAAGAAAGAACTGAACCATGTATACATCCACAACCTTTACGTTCAGTGGTTGCCTATATACACCAAGTCTTGACTATGTACGGAGGGAAACACAACATTTACGCGTACCAGACTCTCTGTCTTCCCCCACCCAAAAGACCCTAAAAGTATATACAAGGCAGTTTTTTGAAGTATCCATGCACTTGCTTACTCACTATGATAATTGATAACCAAATGTCGAAAGAACACAACACGTGTTTTTGCAAACAAATGCGAGTAGTTGCATTTTCCGCACATGTATTTGAATAACGTAAAACATTACAGTATTTGAAGAAAAATTCCTCACTGAGATGACTAGGTAGGCTCGCTTCACTCGCCAATATCTCTCTTCAACTAATTATGTATTCTCTTCCTCCCCCTCCTCTCTCCCTGGTCGTGCAGTGTCTGAACAAGAAGCACAACAGCGACGTGCCGCTAGTCCTCATGAACTCATTCAACACACATGAGGAGACACAGAGAGTGAGATTCAAGTACGACAAGAGAGTGGACCTCCACATGTTCCAGCAGAGCTACCACCCCCGCGTCCTGAGAGAGACTCTGAGGCCTTTCCCTGTAAATGTCGACCTCAAGGACGGAGTGTGAGTCAGAGTATTGGAGGGTGCAATAGCAGCTTCTTTTTAACTGTCCCTTCACTCTTTCCTGCCCTCTAAAAAAGGTTACGATGACAAACCAACCAATCGTAATGCTTTTGGCTATAGTTGGCGAGTGCAACAGCCTCCCTATCTCGCTGTATATATCTGTTCTTGTCACAGGAGCTGGTACCCTCCTGGTCACGGAGATATCTACAACTCCCTCAAGAGGAGCGGACTCCTGGAAAGGTTCCTGGAGGAGGGCAAGGAGTTCATCTTCATCTCCAACATCGACAACCTGGGAGCCACTGTCGACCTCGGTGAGGGGAAAGACTGGGAGACAAAATATCGCACCACCATCATTTTCAGTGTGCTTACACGTCTCTTGGCATGAGAGAGAAGTAGTCGCTACAACTGGAACTATCCATAGCTTGCACGCACAAACACCACTTGTAGACCATGCATTATAATTATGGGTATTTCTTCATTGGGGCAACATTGCCAGAACATTCAGTATGTTGTTCTTTTGGACCATGCACCACTATTGTGAAAACCTTAGCATGAGTAGTTTTCTGCAGCATGCATTTGATCAGCGTCCCTGTCATGCTAAGTATATACCCTCCCCACATAATATACTAGGCCTGGGTCCCGTGGTTGTGACTTCATGACTTATAATGAGAAAGCCTGAGCCATCCATCCATGTGTATTATCTGCAGATGACTGCACAGGTTACAGTTTACTGTAGTATTATTTTTACATACTGTACAACATTCTGTGATTGGTGTATGTCGCTGCGGATGGAACAAGCACAACACAGCCAATTGCATAATTGGCCTGCATTAGCATAACTGGTGTATTGATCTATGCTCCAATTGTTTCTCCCTTCTTCCCTTCTCTAAATCTCTTCCTGAAATCTCAAATCTGTCGGGGTGGTCTGTCTAGGTATCCTCAACTTTCTACTGCATCCTCCGAAGGACTCGGTGCCAGCAGAGTTTGTGATGGAGGTGACAAATAAGACGAGGTCGGACGTGAAGGGAGGCACTCTCATTAACTACGAGGGAAACCTACACCTCCTGGAGTTTGCTCAGGTCTGGCCGTGTGTGTGTGTGTGTGTGTGTTTGTTAGGACACATTGTACTACTGCGTGGAACATACATACATGTGTGTGTGCACCATAATGTATAGTGGGACACCAATGGAACAGAAGAGAGTCTCCATATTAGTGGTGTCCTTCAGTTTCACGCAAGAACTGCATGTTCTTAGGAAAGAATGTGCCCTTTAAGCCTGCTTCACCGTCACAAGAGACCGCGACACTATGTGACGCAACGTCGTGCGGTATTTTGCGAGTGAAATTGCACGACATGTCATGGAATTATGGAGGGACATACTTCTGTGTACACAACTGGGACTTAGAACAAGGTGTTAGTCCTTATTTCGTGGGTGTCCTTAGAGAAGAGAGAGAGCAGAAGAGAGAGCTTGCACTGTACAGTGTAACATGTATGTATACAATAGAGCCATTATATGTGTATGTTGGTGCAGGTGCCGAAGGACAACGTGGACGAGTTCAAGTCCATCAAGAAGTTCAAGGTGTTCAACACCAACAACCTGTGGGTGAGTCTGAGAGCCATCAAGAGACTGCTGGACGAGGAGACCATGAGGGTGGAGGTCATCGTCAACAGGAAGGTGAGGAGGAACGGGAGAGGTAACTGATAAAAGCATGTAGACCGAAACATTCTTGGCTGCAAAAAAATCCCACCTAGGTGTGTTTTTTAAAACACATGCAAACATCAACGAGGCTGCAAGGCAAAGGCAGAACAAGTCAACTACTCTTTCAAGAAGAGCTGCCCTAGGTGGGATTCGAATCCACGACACTCTGCAGTCTAGGCAGAGCGCTCTTACCCACTGAGCTACCAGGGCAGCTCAGCAGCATTTATCCGATGAGTTTGCTGTCAGCATGCACTAGCATCATGCAGAGCACTGAAACGGTCCTGAAACGGTCCTGTCTAATGTTTCGTTTGCTCACCAAGCATTCATTCTAGTGTGCAGCTATAAGTATAGAGACAGAGGGAGCCACAGTGGTGTAACTGAGAATTACCTCCACTCAGAGTCTGGATGGAGGAGTGAATGTGATTCAACTGGAGACAGCTGCTGGTGCTGCTATCAAGAACTTCAATGGAGCAGTCGGTTAGTCTTCCTCTTCATAAACTAACACACACTCACATTGTAGGCACATGTCTACTATTCTAACTCAGAACTAGTTTTCAAGTGCAAGACACGTACACCTATAGATCAGTTGGAGTTGCAGTTGAGCAGCACATCCTACCACATTAAAAGCCCTCGACTCCCGCATGCTATCTACTACTGTAGCTACCCCGTGTCAGACTCTCCGCGAGCTACTAGCGGGAGACCACGAGTAAACGCATACTCATAGAGCCCAGCCCATCAATTAGCGGTACCGCGCATGCGCAGTTCGCCGAGGGTTTGCACTTTAGTGCTTTTCATTACATGAGTACAAGACCCCTCATGCATGAGTTCGACATGTGTATAAGTACCACATGCTGTGTGTACTGAGTAATACGTGTGCATGTCTCTGTGTGTGTCGACCATGCACACAGGTATCAATGTTCCTCGGAGTCGTTTCCTGCCAGTGAAGAAGACGTCGGATCTGCTGGTGGTCATGTCCAACCTGTTCCAGCTGAGAGACGGGACTCTGGTCCAGAACCCAGCCCGGCTCTACCCCGAACTACCCCTCGTCAAACTCGGAGAACACTTCTTCATGAAGGTGGGACACATTCTGCACCTCACCATGTAGCACCGTGGAAGTTGTGGCTATGTTAAGTCACTAGATATCACATCATGTGATGTTGTGCACACGTCTTCATGTTACCACTTTACCATAGTACTAAAACGAATGCAACACATTTTTGACTGTATAGCAAATCCTGCGGGAGTTTTAGTTCAGAATAACGTGCAGCATTACTGTGTGGTGGCAGTGTGGGATAGATAAAGCAAAACCACATTCAGTCAACTATGTAGGCTTGCTTCACTTGCCAGTTATTTTCAGATCAGCTCTCTGTACTTATAAAATATAGCAATGGCAACACTCTCATGTGTTGCTACCAGCTCGACTTGTCGTCGCCTGTATTAGATGTCTTGTGAAGTACAACTCTTGTTTCCAGGTTCGTGAGATGCTGGAGAGGTTTGAGAACATTCCAGACATGTTAGAGTTGGACCATCTCACAGTGTCTGGTGACGTCACCTTCGGAAAAAACGTCACTCTCAAGGTAATCACTGGAGCCTCTGAATGCTGGGACCTCGAAACTTTCCTTAAAAGGAGTGTGTCAGTACATAAGGGCAGGGCAGGGGTTGTCGGTACATAGAACTGTTACTAAAGATCAGTGCAAGAGTGACATAAAGTTTGTTTTAGTATTCTAAACTTAGTCTTGTATATCACCACATTCCTTTTAATGTAGATGCACCCTTACATTGGCAGTATGTAAGGGCTAAGTTTAGAAATTGTTACTATAAACGGAAACCAAATTGAATTCTTGCACTGCGCTCTATTGTTTAGACCTATCTTTAGTCTTTAGTAACATTTTGCTTTCTACTGCTGCAGTGTCTTCTTTAAACCTCAAGTATCTTACCTACATTCAACCAGGGCTTAATTCATTGGTGTGTGTCGTTACACAGGGCACAGTAATCATCATTGCTAATCATGGGGACAGGATCGACATCCCCTCTGGAGCCATGCTAGAGAACAGATAGTGTCAGGAAACCTCCGGATCTTGGACCACTAGATTTTACTTTTCCTTGTCATTATTGTGTATAACATCCAGAAGTTTATTTGTGACTTTGTGCAAGTGGTTTTTAGATCTGTGAAGAGATGTGAATGCCAACCAAATGTTAGCTAAGGACATGGACGCTAGATTCGTACAATAGCCTGAGTTCAACTCGGATTTGCTTCTATTCTGCGCTTAAAAGCTGTTGACACCTGAGAACAGAACCAAAATATCTCTTTACATTATTAATGAAAAGCACTGAAGTGCAAACCCTCGGCGCATTGTGACGCGCACGCGTAAGTAAACGCATGCCCCGTAGGTAGGTATATACTAATATTGATGGGCTGGGTTTAGTTTTAGCTGTTACCCGTGGTCTCTTGCCTGCTCGCGCAGAGTCTGACGCGGGCTAACTACACTACTAGATAGCATGCGAGAGGCGATACACACCCTGCGTTGCATCTTCTGGTGCCTCCGAGGTATGCAGAGCACGCGGATCGGTCAGACCGTGGTAAGCCGTCCCGTCCGTTGTGTATTTGCATATTGGCTTTTTCGCGCTCTAGCTTTGCAACGGAGCAGTTTCAGAGAAAACCGTTCAAAATTTCTGACCTTCGTTGCCCGTTAAGTAGGTCGTATCGTTTGTGAGACGAACAGACATTCGAGAAGTGAGATTGAGAGTAACAGACACACAGACACACAGACAGACAAACCCCCAACTACAGTACCCTCGCTGCGCTGCGCTTAAGTTGTTGACACCTGAGAACAGAACCAAAATATCTCTTTACATTATTAATGATGTATGTACAGGTGCATTGCTATGTTGTTGCTAGTGTACAACATGTTGGAAAGCAATGATGTACTTATTCTTGCTGTTGTTACCCTGTAGCTTTCCTCATGTCTGGAAAGGCAATTAATACTTCTTCCAAGTCCTCTTTGTCTCTTCCATCATCAAAAGTCACCTCCAATCATCCAAATCCTTCTCTTTCAGTGTGGAGTTATGGTGTAGAGCCTGGGCCAGTACTCGTAGTCCACCGACCCTGAACTTACACCAGACTAATTCAAGATACTGCAGTGTAGTGGAGTTCCTGATGAATTGTGCCAGATAGTCTGCTGCTGTGTCAGTAAATGAAATATCTCCTACCAGTGTGAGTCTCTCCAGTGACAGTGGACTACTAGCCAATGCCCTAGTAATGACCTCAGTCCCTTCTTCATTCACGGTTACGTATCAATGACAATTCTTAAGAGTGGTTGAAGTCCTGATGTAACTGCCAACAGCCACACAATCGTTACTTGGTAGCTCAAACAAGTTATCGATGAGTTTCGGACTGAATGAAAGACTAAAGGACTCCAGTTTGAGGGGTGGTAATTGTGTGTGCAATGACAATTCTCCCGTCCTTTGACTACATATTGTTAGTATTCGTAGTGAGGAGAGGTCTGGCCATGGGAATTCACTGCATGGTACTGAGAGTGGTAGAGATAACTCATGAAGGTGAAGAATATTCTTCAACTGAATAAAAAGTTCAGCAATATTCTCAGTCTCAAGAGAGGGATAATGTCACTTCATCACAGACCTATAAAACCCACCACTCTTCCACAAGTGTCAGACCTGAGTTCAGCTCCATTTACCAGGATTTCTATCATTTCTCTATCTAAAGTGTGCAACTCACACATATCCAACACCCACTGACACTCACTGTGGGCTATGCAGTAACCCAGAGAGTAGTAGTCCATTGGTAACATTGACATGCCGCCTTTGAACTTAATTGTTAATGGTCCAGTGCCATGTTTCACATTGAGTAGTGCACTGACGTTTTTGCTCTGAGTTTCAAACATCCAGTTTACAAGTTGACTATTAACTGCAATGTCACATTCATGGCTGTAATGACCACCTGTAACGCTGTAATGATCACCTGTAAAGCACTGAGAAGTTATAGATGCACCTTCACTTGAAAAACAGCTTAACTTGGTGATGCCAGCCAGAAATCTCAGCACTACATTCAACCTACCATCCTCGTGTTTCTGGAAGTGTACCAGTTGGTCTGCTGGTGACATGGTAGAGATGTGGACTGCAGCAAAGAACTCCTGAAATGTCAGATGTAGGAAGTTGTGGGACGAGACTGTCCCACGAGTTACATAGAGCTCAGTGACAGAGTCCATGAACCCAAGATTGTCAAAGTCTGCTGGTAGCTCTGACTCTTTGAATATCAGTTGTACCTGATTACTTTCCCCTACAATGCCTTTGTATGCTAATTTACATAGCTCGGCAAAGTTTGTCTGTACTCTACATGGGACAAGTAGGTCTTTAAAAATCCCTATACATTGACTGCCTTTCTCCAGCTCGGGATGACCACGTAGGTATCGAACTAGCAGTATTTGTGCGAGAGCAGTGTATAGTTCAGTTAGTGTTGTAGGCAGAGGACACCCACTGGCCTGTCTGTCCTGATATACTGTCACCACAATAGCACTGTTCAGAGGGATGTACATGCAGCCTCTGATCGGAGGACGATTCTTAACATAAGACTCCAGGTCCTTAGCTTCACCCTGAGGTAAGGCACTCTTTATATATTCAGAGATTTGTTGAGTGGTAAAGCCCATTATCTCAATATGTTGGAGCAAACGATGCTTGTAATGCTCAAGAAACATTCCTGTAGCCCAAGGTCGACTGGTGACCATCACAGTAGCCAGTGGCAATAGCTCACCACATATAAGTCGAAGGAATATAGACTGTGGAGTACGACAGGTGTCTGGAAGCTCGTCAAACCCTTCTAGTAGGATTAGTGTTTTTGAACCATGACTAATCTCCAGATCAGCAGTTACTGCTTGACATACATCTTCTGAATCATGCATGATTAGATGCTTGAGAGTCTTGGCTTTGCTCATTCTCTCATCTCTGAGTCTGAGAAGTAGGACCAACTGGTACTGCTGAGATATCTCCCCTCTCTCCCACCTCCTACAGTACTCCCATGCAAATGTTGACTTGCCCACACCTGGAGCACCCTCCACTAGTACAACTTGCTCTAGACCAATATCAGGAACCCCAGCTGCTATTTGATTAAAGTCAATCGGCCACTTTTTGCCATGTACGACATCAACATCACCATATCGAACCATAGCCTTTGTCACCTCTTCGTATTCACTCCTTTGCCCACTAGTAACCTTACCACGGTCTATACATACCAGATTGATGTAGACCTTACTGGGAGTTGGGGGCCACTTTACAGTACGTGTATCTCTCTCTACCTCACTCTTTCTGTAGACTGTCTTCACATAGTCAATGTACTGAGTGACCAGTGGTGGTTTCCTCTGACTTGTTGAAGAAGGCTGTTGTTGGCTGGGGAGTGGGCGAGGCTGGGGTTGTGGCCTCACTGGTGACTGTTCTATAGGTCTCTTGGCAGCAGGGGCACCAGTCTCTGGGACATTGTGTGGGGAGACTGCAGAGGTTGCTACTTGTGGATGTGGGCCATATTGGTGTTGCAGAGGAAAGTAGGGATAGGGAAGGTTAGGAGGAGGATGAGGGATGTGTGGGTATACTACATGAGACTGCTGTGGGAGATATTGTGGTGGGAGTGGATGATATGGAAATTGGTTGTAAAAGGGACCTTGGTTTAGGTGTTGAGGTATGGACTGTGGTTGAAATGCATGGGTAGAGGGTTGGTATGGAAAGATGTAGGGTCCTGGTGGTTTAGGATATCCAAGATGTGGGTTTGTCTGACTAGCTACAGCTGAGGTTTGTTGTGGAGCTGCTACTGTAGGGTTAGCTGCAGTGGGTACTGGTGGCTGAGATGGATTTGTTGTGCCACCTACAACAGACATTTCATGCACATTGATAGGTGGGGTTGTAGTATAGTGTTGGGGGATATTATGAGGTGGATGCTGTTGCATGCTGTGATGTGGATAACTGTTGTATGGAAGACCCTGGTTGAGATAGTGAGAATCTGAATGAGGTAATGGTAGAGGAGGAAGACCTGAAGTTGCTACTTGTGGTGGTGGGACATAATAGGTTGGTTGGAAAGAGGGATAAGGAAGGATAGTGGTTGAATGAGACTCAGGTTGGTTTTGCTGTGAGGGAAGTTGAGATGATGATGAAAACAGACTAGTGTCACAGCGTGGGAGAGAGACATTTGGTCTCGCTTGGTGGGTAGATGATAGCAGAGACTGAGACGTCAAATAATGAGACTCAATCTGGTTGGCCACCCGGTGTTCACGAACAGAGTCGGACCTAAGAGCTGTGACTAAGTCCCTACATGAGAGAGGCTCTTCCTGGTTTAGTCTCTCTACTAGTATCTCCTGCAGTTGGGATTCACATTTGTGGTGATTTTCCTTTATATTATTGATTTGCCAGTCTTTCAGCCCCAACTGCAGACCAAGTGCAGAGCATTTTGAAGCTACTGGAGTTAGAATATTGATAAGAGTTGGAATGTCTTCCTTAGACAACACTCGGTCAGCAGGATTCTCTGCCATTATAGCTACCAATCTACATAAAATTGATTGAGGAAAGTTCACAATTGGGTTGCATCCAAATTTCAAGTCTAAGGGTGGCCTGACGTTAGCTGTGGCTTTAAGAGCCCACACATTCTAAGTTATGTGAAAAACATTCACAGCACTACTTGTTTTACTGGCCATTCTAGCTATGTAGCTATAAGTGGGGAAAAAACACATTTCCACCTACTCCCTACGCTCATGGCCTCAACTTCTCCCATTATACGGTACTGACTACAATGGTTATGAGCATAAAAAACCTTCACTAAAAAATTGATGAGAGCCAAGTTAACCTAGTATCACAGGGCCTGCATGCATATGAACCTGCACTACACAGCACTGCTTTCAAAAACACCACTATCAGCCTCTAAATACATAGGCATCTTGGCTACGGGACAG